AACTGAGTCCAGTGTCCCCTTGGTTGCCAGGCGGAGTTTACATCAAATGAAACAATAATGTATAGAATGCAACAATGTAATTATAAATACTTAAACACGTCAGTATCTGTGGACAGTCATTAACAATAAAATATAAGGTATTACCCCAACAAATCACCTGAAACTGTGAGGACTTTAAGTTAACTCTGGGTTGACCAATGGTCTCTAAATCCCGCCTCTCGTTTTCAACAACCAATCAAATTACGCTATCAATCTGTTTACCATTAGCCGCGAACTGCAAACTTCCTTTTCCGTGTTAAGCTGTCCAATGTTGAATTAAACCAACACTAACACATATAATTCCTTAAGGCAATATGAACACGGAGCAGTCCGTTGAAACTATTTGTGAAAGTCACTGCCCAGTTTCGACACCGGAGGGAAATGACTCAAAGAAAGGACAGCTAAAAAGGTAACTGTGAGGATAGCTTACCATTGTTGTTAGCGTTAACGCCAGCCACCAACTACAGAGCAACTTGTATTTGCAGCCGAGCGGTTCATCTGGGTGCTTCATTTATTCTGTTCACGTTTTGAGGCTTGATTTACATGTAAACTTTACGTGTTGTTTTCTTTCTTTTTTTCTTTTCTTTTTCTTTTTTGCTTAACACATCAAATAAAATAATTTGTAAAATAACAGAAAGCTTCTGCAAAAGAAAAACAGGCAATTTACTCGCAGGTATTATATTTTTAGCCATATCGTAAAATATAATTCCTGTCACCTAGCCAAAGCTCCAAGTTTAATGTTTTAAGATGAAGTTTACTTAACTTAAAACACAAGTGACATAATGTGTTTATTGTGTACTTAAACAATTGTCCGATCTTGAGTACCTTTACTGCAACTAAGCTATTGTTGCTGTTGTTGGCTTAACATAATTGCATCTAATTGTATCCATATTTTTTCATCATTAATTCATTCCTTCTTTTTGTAGAACTCCATTATCAAAGTTTAAGAAAATACATTCCCACTTCAAGTCACCTGTAAGTAGCTTTCCTGTCTTCTTTTTCTCACACACACACACACACACACACACACACACACACACACACACACAAACAATCACCCATAGCATGCCACACATGCCTTATTCTGTTATGATTGTCACAGCTTCAAGTACTTGAGAGTGCTAAAGTCAGCCCTGCAGAGGAGGTGGAGGAGCTAGAGAGGAGAAGAGAGCAGCTGGATACAGAGATAGCACAGCTGGAGGCTGAGTAAGTACAGCTGTGTTGTTCTTGCTGTATTTCTGTCTTGAGGTCCAACTTGAATGCTATGGGTAGTGATGGTTCATTGTATCATTAGATGAACAGAACTCAGATTTAATCGTCCACCTGCACATAGCAGTTTATCTTTTTTAGATGTTTATAATTTTGTGCCTTTGCCTGCATATGACCTTTTGCATAAATCTGCTGAGACCATGTGTGCATATATGTTTTTAGGGGCTATAGAGTAGAGGAGCTGGAGCATCATATTGATAAGTTGCATGAATACAACGACATCAAAGACATTGGGCAGTCACTCCTGGGTCGTATAGGTAAGAGAGAAAAAGAAATTTCAGTTCAAGCTTTAAGTAGCATTCAATGTATGTAGTAATAAGTGAAGCTTGGTAAATTAAAATTATAAAGGTATATTATTAATGATGTTATAACTGCTGATGTGAATATTACTGTGATTCAGTAATTAACATTCCCCCTGAGCATCAACTCTTGTAAACACTGGGCATAGTATTTTCTTCAAGTGATGAAAATGTTTATCAGTCACTAACACTATCTTATTATAATACACCAAATTTCTCTCTTTTTGTCCCATGACACTTCTTATCTATCTGAGGTACTAATACATCATCATGTTGCCTAACAGCCACTAAATATCAACAGGCTTAAGTGACCCATTTTTAACATTGATGCATCACAACAACGTTATAAAACCACCATTTCAATTTAATTTCACAACAGTAACATCAGTTGTATTTCCACAAATGTTACCTGGCAATCATCTAATGGACTAAACTGATATTTATATAGGGATGAATGCAGTAGTACCTTTATTTTTTTTAGATGATGGGTCATGGACATGTTCCCTTAATCACACCTTTAATTTTAATAGAGCATTCTGGCGTTTAGGGTGGCACATCTAAACTTACCAATATTTTCCTACTCTGTGGAAAATCTGTCAGATTATGAGGCTATCTTATGCACAGCCCTTATCAGGTCACTCCACAGAATCGGTTGCATTCGGGTCTGAGGTCTGGCTGGGTCTTTCAAAAAATGTTAAAGTCATTCTTTTGTTTAGGTCATTGTTTTTGTTTTTTTGTTTTTAAACATCACTAAAACTGGGCATTTTAGCAGGGGTGTGTGGATCTTTCTATCCACTACACCTTCTTTACAACCATGACATGTGAAGTCCACTTGAATTAAATTTTAACTATGAGTGTTGGTTAATTTGCTGCATAACCATAAACGTACATTGTGATGAGAAGTGTGAGAGTATTAAAAAAAATGTAAACTAAGAATTATAATGGAAGATTTAACCTCCTCAGTCAGCCACTGGAGGGCAGCAAAGAGGGGTGTGCTTGCTTTTTTTTTTCTCTGTTGAAACAGAAGTATTTTTAGTAAACCTTATGCAGTAATTAATAATATGCTGCACATGGGATTGCTTATAAAAACTCTTTAGAAAACAAATGACTTGACTTTTAGTGGCTGACTTTTTTTTTTAAAGGTCAGCCACTAAAAATCATGTAGTTTTTGTGCTCAGTGATTATATTGGCTAATATTGAATGGGTTTCAAATTTGGTACTAACTTTTAGTAATTAAATTAATTAACTTGCATATCAGATAATGCTTGTACATCACTGGCATGCTGCCCACACATTTCTCCCCTTCTTGTGGAGTTCAAAAGGTTTTCTGACCAAAAAAGGAATTTCACCTTTTTACTAAAAGGGTAATTGTAATTTATCATAATCATAAGGGTTTTTTTGTATCCCTGTTCTCAGATGCACAAGGTTGAGTAAGTAGGGTGAAGTTCAGTTTTCATACTGGAAGGAGTTCTGGTGATTCACGGTCATGTCATACTACCTAAGGGTGTGTGTGTTTTATTGTAGATAAAATCTTGATGTTCCATTTTAGTCTGTGATTTTAAATGTACAGTGCACCAATATACTTATTTCCCACCTATGAACAGTCTGTGTAGAAAAGTTAGGTGATCTCTCATAGTAAAACTGTGCTGAGTTAAATTAGCATTCTCTTCAAGTTCTCTGTCAGTACAGTGAAGAGTCACGATGATAATGACTTCTTAGTGAACGGAGATGGCATTTCCCCTCTGACACAATAGCTGTCTTTCTCATCACCCGCAGGCTGACACACAATTACAATCTCTGTCTATAGATGCATGCATTCAGTAACACGTGCATATATATTCAAATACAAAGACGTGCCGTCATTCTTTCTTCTCCCTTCTTTCTCTCTCTCAAGCACACACTTTCACAAAAGCTCTACACTTAACGCACTGAGTTGCTGTTGTACTGTATGCTGTTATTCTGAGAGGGAGGAGTTGGGTGGGCAGGCCCTGGAGTGAGGAGACAAGAGGAGATGCCCTGCATTACCCTTTAAAGACAAATGTCCTTTGTCTCATGTCCATTTGTCTGTCTGTCTGACTGTTTGTCTGAGTTCATGTTGCTACTTAAAATCTTTCCCTTTTTTGCATATATTCACCACTTTAAGGTTTTCACTTCTGAAATTGCTGAAAAAGTGGTCATAGAATATAACAGAAAAATTGTGCAGATTGTGATACAAGCACCAAATTTGGCACAATTACTTGATTAGCTGTTTGAAAAATTAAGATTGCTGATTGGACACCAAGATCATTGAAAATCAGACATACAAGTTTAAACATCTCAGATTCATTTTTCCCATTATCAAGAGCCTAGCTGTAAGATATATATGCATATGTATTATATTATTTTGAAAGTAATGCTCAGTCAGTTTTGTTGTGTCTTTAGTAGATCAACACATTTTTGCAAACATTTTATTAACAACTACTTCAGCAATAAAAACAGCATAGAAAGCAAAAATGTTCATGGTGATAGTATCTGCCTCTATACTCATGTTTACATCCATACTTGGTCAGTT